AAGTGATTTGGTTAGTTAAGGTCATATGTCAACTTCGATGCCTATGAGTGTGTCTGTCTCTGTATGTGTACGTCAGATTGAATTTTGTTGTGACGATGATACCTCGCTCTGATGATGCTCGTCATATGACGCACGAATGCTTAGCACCTTTTCACCTGAATCGAAGGATATCGCCTTGGAAACAGCGTCAGCATGAATCTGCCAGTAAAGCCAATCGACAGCTGGTCAAGAGGACAGGAGATTGCCTCGGAAACAGCGTCAGCATGAATGTTCCAGTAAAGCTAATCGACAGCTGGTCAAGAGGAATCTCGTCTTCTGGTGGAACCGACCTTCGAATCTCTTCACCCAACACTTTCACTCGAAATGGAAGTAAGCTCAGCAATTATGAAACAGGAGATTCCTTGAAACCCAACTTTTCTTCGCATATATTACGTACGTATGGTAATTATGCAGGAAGATAGTTAAGTAGGTAGGCAGGGAGGTTGGTAGGTATGAGTAAAGACAAAAGACGAGTTGTGTTGAAAGCTCACCCTCGTGGTGCTCCTCAAGAATGATGAGCCGCGTTCGCCGCGATTGTTGCCTCGCGAGTCCGTCCCTGTTGGCGAAAAGATCGTTCTCCAACTCGTAGCCACCATCGCTCCTCCAGCGTAGATGTTGTTTGCTCAAATCGGCCGACCAGATTGACTCGGAGATGAGAGTGACCAAGGCGAAGGCCGCTATCGCCAGGAAGCAGCCCCACAAGCGCCTGAAAGAGAGGTCAACATGTAAGGACGTCGTGGTTGGAGTGAATTAGCCGTACAGGTCGTGTTGAATGAGGCCGGAGAATCGCCTGAATGGATACAAACTGAGGCTGGAGCGAACAGTCTATTGCCAATTTCTGGCTCTTTGCAAAACATGACGATGCAAACGTATCGTAGACGCCTGTTTGACTGCGCAGTGGTCACGTGGTCTGGAGGAGAGAGGCGCTGATGTGGCTGGGATGCAGTGACTACGCATCGCTGATGCAATTCCGGCCACAAAAAGGAGTACCAAAACAGCCCCTCAATTGGCCCAGCACTGTTTGGTTGACAGGAGATTCGAGACGTTTATCGACTCTCGCAGAATGTGATGGAGGGACCTGTGTCTAAGGGTTCTTGTGGCCGGGACTACCGCAAGAAAACAGCGCATTTTGTATGAAAACACAGGCCAGAAGCCGATGAATATTTACCAGGCCAGCAAAACACGGTAGAAAAGAGGCCACACTTGAACTGTTTTTTGCGAGGGCAGTCAACCAGCTCCTTCATTGGGCCCAGTCCGAAGGACACGAAGAGGTAATTGAGCAAAAGCGGGGTCTGGGTAATCCCTACTGGGCAATACTCGCACTATTGCAATACCAGATGCAGACGATGAAAGCAAAGTAGTTTTATGTTCCGAATAAATATGAGTTGGGATCATGTGTCGATTTTGAGTGTGAACTTGTGTCGATCGAGGTCACTTAAGATGAGACTGGGTGGGATAGTCAAAGTTTCCACAATAAAGTGAGTTAATAGAATTCATTCTGGCTTTCGTATCCAAGCTGGACTGGACTTTTAACCTCGACTTTGTCAAATCAGCATAATCGACGTGTACCCCGAGACGTCTCCAAATGTACATTTTTAATACTGGAAATGGTGCCTAGTATATACCTAGAATTTGTCATGACGATAGACGGTACCAATATGTGTCGAATGAATATGTTTTGAAAATACTGGTAGAACGTAAGTAAAAAATTATAGAAGGAAATTCAAATATTAGTCCTTATTTCACCTTATGCTAGCTAGAGTTAGTCTATTTATCATTCAAGAGAAACCATTTGTGTTAAAACATACTCATTGACTAGAAAGCAATGCTGTCGATTTTCTCTTCGATACTTTTAATTTTTGAGTAATTGTTTTGCAGAAATTCAGGTTTACATCATCGACAGTCCCATCATAAATATAAATTGAGGGGAGTGCTGGCTTGGCTTTTGGGAGACAAGTTAAAGTTAATTTAACTGGTCTCGTGAAGTCTTCCAACTCATTTGACTAATAGAAGTCTAAAAAACAGTATTAGGAGGACCTTCATTTCGAATGAAAGTACATATGCATTCTAATACAATCAAGCAAAAATAATAAAACGAACATGAAAGAAAATTAACCAAACCACTCTATATCGATCTGTC